GAGGCTTGAAGGTTCAGAGGTAAGTGTGAAGTCTGTTAACATGTCAAAGTCTTTTAACTAAACAAGCTTCCAAACTCAGCCTTCTTTCTCTATGGGATTGTTGTTTTTCTTGAGGTTCACTCTACAATTAAACATTTACCTTTGTAACCTCCATGTTTAGTATATGATGGAAACATATAGCTTTATTATGCAAACATCCAGTCACCTAACACCTTCCTTTTTTACCATGTGAGTGTATTTGAATCATAGTGAGAGCTGCTTACCATTTTGCTGAAATTGTCAAACTTTCTGACAGCCAGGTTTTTATTATTTTCTTTTAACTAACTTAAGAAATGTGACTGAAATTCTTGTGAACAGTTTTAAAATTAACTTGATTATAGCATATAAACTATGACTATGAAATAATGAGTGATTTTATAAGCGACACATTAAAGTCATTCTTTTCTTTGTGAACAGCTAGATAGTTGTTTTCCCATAGCATTGATTGGTATAATCTTTCATGTTTATAAAACTGTAAAAATCAGTCTATTTCTCTTCTTTCAGATCTAAAATGACCTCTATAAATTTACACCTACCCTACCACACCTGGCAAGAAAGAGATTAGTTCTGACCTTCCCTACAAGTCTATGTAAAGTTTCCTTTTTTATGTTTTTGACCTCTGAAGGGTTCATGAATTAGGTTGGATAAATTTCAGATCATTGCCATTTGACCTGCGTTCCCTCTTTATTTACTATTGCCATATACTTTACTAATTCTCTTGATAGAATCTAAAATCTAGTTGTATAATTTTCATCTCTGATACAATAAAGGGTTAGATGTCTGCTGATCTGGCAGTCTTTGTTCCATTTTCTTTTCTTACTTTCACATACCACTTCCTGCTCCATAATAGGTTGGTTGCAAATAATTTTATCTTAAGACTACCTGGAAATTGTTCTGATTACCAATAATATTATTTGAACATTTCAGGCAATAATCACTGTAAAACCTACAATATCTCCCTTTCTTCCCCCATTGAGTTTTACTTTATGGACCATTACACTGGCTTTTTTATCTACACAGTAACCAGTACTCATTAATGCAAGTTTCTCTGATATACCCTTAAGGTTTCTGCATATAGTAATTCTCCTTTTGAAATATATTGTGACATCTACTAAATATAGCTCATTAAAAAAACACTTTTGTTTTATTTCTTCTTTGATTGAGTTTGAAATACAACGAATTATGTAAAATTTACATAAGATTATAGTTTACGTATTTTGGCATCTTGCCTAGTTTCGGTTGGAATCCAGATTTCTTCCTTTTTCTGTTTCTATACTCTCATACCCTTGCCAGTTTTCTTGCCAGTTGTTTGTGGAGTTTTTCCCTTTTGAATTAATAAATCTACAAACATTTGTTGAACAGTTATGAAATTCTATGTCAGTATGAAATTGTCTTTGCTTCTAAGGAGGTTACAATCTACCTGGGATATGAGACATTCAGATATAGTAATTGTAATGAATGATATAAGGTGGCATATAAATACTAAATGACTAAACAATACAAGTGCTATTGGAGTTTGGGAATATGATTGATCATTTCTAGCTGGATGGAATGACCAGGCATAGCTTTATGGGGGAAATTAGATTTAAGAGTAGTTAGGTTAGGTAGAAAAAGAGAAGGGGAAAACTTTGCATTTCAGTTGAGCGAGTAGGTGGAAAAAACACACACACACATAACAGGCTGAAAAGATACAGTTTCTTTATGAATGAGTAAAAATGAATGCATGAATCCTTGTTTGGAGCAGAAAAATGTAAAGGAAGGAAACAGGAGTAGAAAAGTTGGTACTATTAGGTTTTGGAGAACCTTGGATGCCAGAATGAGAAATTTGAATGGGGTCCTCATCCTTGTTGACCTTTTTGGAGCTGACTACTGACTGTTCTTCTGGATATTTTCTCTTCTCTGGGTTTTTTTGACTTCTACCTCTTGGTTCACCTACCTGTATGACTTTACTTTAGGTCTCCTTTGTTGTATCATAATCCATGTCCTTTCCTCTAACTGAGGTTATACCCCAAGTCTCTGTCCTTCAACCTCTTATTTTTGCACTCTCATCGTAATCTCATTAGCTTCCATGTAGTAGAATAGTACCTTCCATGTAGAAAGTTTCATTTCTGTACAGATGATTCCAAGATCTATATATTTTTCTCTATTGTCCCTTCTGAGCTCCAGTCTTACATTCCCACCTGCCTGTCAGATACTTCAAGCGAGATGTCTTTTAGGCATCTCAAATTCAACATGTCCAAAAATAGAACTCAGTTCCTCACAAATTCCACCTGTCTTCTGAACTTCCCCATTACTGTCCACAAAACTATCATCCTTCCAGTCACCCAGGTTCACAACCTTGATTCCTCTAAAGATTGCAGAATCTTATACTTTTTTCCTCAAAAAATTATTTCTTGCAATATGTCCCTTTCTCTTCATGCATGCAGCGACCACTGGTTCAGGCTCTTATCACCTCTTGCCTAAACTATTGCAATAACCTTCTAATTGGTCTTCCTGTTCCAATTTTGTGCCCTCCAATCTATCCTCTACTTAGCTTCCAGAGCAATTTTCCTTAAGTGTAGGTCTGACCATGTCACCTCCCCTGCTCAACAAATTCCATTGACTCCCTTTTCCCTTCAATAGCAAATATAAAATCCCAACTGGGATTCTTCCTGTGCTTCAGACCTTCTTACATTCTGCTCTCCAGCCTACTTGCCTTTCCTTGCACTTGGCAATGCGTCTGTTGTCTCTGCCTTTGAACCAGCTGTTTCCTTTGCCTGGAATACTCTCCCTCCAAACCTTTAACTCTTGAAATTTGTAGCTTCCTTAAGTCTCAGTTCCAGTGCTTCTTACTTCATGGAACCTTTCTTGGTTGCCCCTAGCTTCTAGTTCCATCCCCTCTAGCTCCTGTGGTCTTGTTTCTAGACTGTAAACTCCTTGAAGGTAGGCTTTTTTTTTGTACTCAAAGTACTTAGTGCAGTGACTGATACATTGTAAGTTATTGCTGACACAGGTTTTCAGGAAGATTAATCTGTTGATGTTGTGTAACAGATTAGAGAGTGAGGTGGACAAAGGCAGGGTGATCAAGTATGGCAGTCTAGGTTTGAAGTGATCAAGGTCTAAACTAGCATGGTGAAAGTGGAATGTAAAGGAGGGAAAGAACATAAGAGATGTTTGGAAGGAAGGATTGACAGAGCTGGTTGAGTAGATGTGTCTGTATATGCGGGGTGAAGAAACAACACATCACAGAGATGACTTTCAGGAGTAGATAGGTGCTTGAGAAAAAGGTGGTGCCATTGACAGAAATTGATAGGTCAGAAAGGGAACTATTTTGTCAGAGAAATAGTGAATTTAGTTTCATACATGTTGAGATGGATGTGACAATGGAACTTGGAACTGAACATATATGATAGGACATTAGAGATACAGCACTAGAACTCAGGAAAAAGATGATCCCTGCAGATGGAGAGGTGAGAACCATTTGCAGGGAGGTTGGTAGTTGAAGCCATGAAAGGAGACAAAAGTCCTAAGGGAGATTATAGACAGAGAAGAGCAAAGGGTTAAGGACTAAGCCATAGGAGGGAGCTTTGGTACTTGGGAAAAGAAGAAGAGGAGTGAGTGAAGACAGAATAGAAACTGAAAGTTAAAAAGAAAACACTATTACCAGTTTTTGTTCTATTCGAACTCATCAGTATCCATGGCTCATTCTTTCAAGAAGTTCTTTTAAATGAATAAGCTCTTCAAGAAGTGAGTACTCTAGGTGAAGAATTCCTTTTGGAATGCCCAAAACCTAGTACTCAGATGCTTTTCAAATATGTTTTAGGAACAACTCAGTAGTAGATTAAGGCACCAAAATCTGTTCTCCCTTCCATTTCCTGTAGTTCTACCAGCAATGCCAATGTTTGTTTTACAAGTAGAAATTTCACCTCTTACGTCTGTTTGAGATGACCTCTTCTTGACCCTGCTAGTGCTTCTTCCCCTTACAATCTCACCATTTTTTGTTTTGGTTTTTATTACTCTTTTCTCTCTCTCTTTCTCCCCTACCATTCTTCATTTATTTCAACATTAAAACTGTATATTACTATATTTGTATCATTATTATATGTTTACCTAGATTGAATCTTTTTATTTTACTTAAAGTATCTGAACAAATACCTTTTTGCTCAAATTTTCATTTCTGTCAAGCAACTCATCTCACTGAGTCTGGGGGACTTTTTAGTTGTGAAAGTGTAGAGTGCAGTAATAGCTTAGAGTCTTATGAACCATTTGTTAATAAATTATGCATCATTCTGATTATGAAGGTTCCTTATAGTACTTAATGTAATTTTTCTGAGGGTTTAAATTATGTTTCTTGGACTTGGGTGCCATGAATAGAATGCTGAGCCCGGAGTCAGGAAGACCTCAGTTCAGATCTGGTCTTGAGCACTTTTTAGTTGTGTGACCCTGGGCAAGTCACTTAAATTTTGTTTGCTTCAGTTTCTTCAACTGTAAAATGGAGATGATAATAGCACCTACTTTGCAGGGTTGTTGTGAGAATCAAATACATTTGTATTTGTAAAGCATTTAGCACAGTACATGACTGATATTGGATGCCTAAAAATATGCTCATTTCCTTCCTTTCCTCCTTGTTTATTAACCTTGCAAAAGTTATCATCTCTTCATGGTTTTAATCGTTAGAAAGTATCATGCATTTACTTATAAGAAGCAGCATTTTTATTCTGGGATGATGAAGAGGTAGACAAAAAGAATTATTTGATGTTTCCTGTACATTTAGTTATGTTTGTGATCAGATTTATTTTATAACTGACATAGCAATAAAGTTAAAACATAACTGACAGCAAAAGGCATGTTAATTTTTATTCCCTGCCTCAGTTATATTTTATGTTGATGTGAAGATTAACATGACTATTTTAGAACTGAATTAAAATCTTAATGCTTTTAGACTACAGTGAAGGCTATATATTTATTCTTGATCTTTACAGAGAGAACAATAGAAGACCATGAATTGGTGGTTGAAGTTCAGTCAAACTGGGGAATGGAGGAAGAAAATAAGCTATACTTTAGAAAAAATTACGCCAAATATGAATTCTTTAAAAATCCAGTGGTAAGTAATATCTACAAGTAATACAAAATACTACAATGGAAAATAAGCTCTTCATTGTAATTATCTTTTAATGTCATTTTAGAAGGAGAACATTTTAATAAATATGTCCCCAAAATTAATTGTATTATTCCTAAATTATAGACTCCTTAGCTTTCTGAAAGCAACCTAGTGATTTTAGTATGCTTTAAATGTAAAAGTATTTGATTCTTCTTGTATTAAATACCAGAGGTGATTGGCATAATGGATAGCGCATGGAGTAAAGAGTCATAAAGCCTGTATTTTTGCTTCAGTTCTGCCACTACTTAGCTGTGTGGCCTTGGACAAAACACTTAAATTTTGAGTCTCGGTTTCTTCATCTGGTAAATGGGAAGGGGTTGAAGTGATATTCTGCATTTTAAAATAATTTGCTGGACATTTCTATTGGATATTCTGCTAATACAAACTCAATGTGGCAAAAATAGAACTCATGAATATAGCAAGAATGAAAAAAAAATTAAAAGAAGAGAAAGGACCAAGGATACCCCTTAGACAGAGTATGGAGTCCAGAGTGAATTTTGCAGTGACCTCCGTGGAGTACATGACTTTGTTAAGGCAGTTCTTATCTATGCTGAAAGCATAGTCTGAACTCCCTCATTGAAGAGAAGGTAAATGGGTCTTGAAGAACATGTCTTCAATAGGTAGGATGAAATATTCCTTAAGTAATAGAAAGAATGGCCTCAATATGAAAACAATAAATGAAAAGGTGTAGGAAGTGTAGCAAGCATTTATTAAGTACCTACTATGTGCCGGGCTTTGTGATAAGCACTTCACAAATATTACCTTCCTTTGATCCTCATGCGAACCCTGCAGGGTAAGTGCTATTATTATCACATTTCACAGATGAGGAAACTGGGGAAGATAGAGGTGAAGTGACTTTCCTAGGGTCAGACAGCTCACAGATTTTTTAGGGTGTATTTGAACTCATCTTCCAGACTCCAGGTCCAGTGCACTGTCCACTGAGCCACCAGCTGCTTGTCTAGGGGAATACTAACCTATGTGAGGTCAGAGAGTGGGGAGATGTGATACAGAGGAGAAAGGGAAGAAGGATCATTGAACACTGGGAGCTAAGGAACATGTATAGCTATGTCTTATCTTGAGAGGAGTCAACTGTACCCTCTAAGGAGAAAGCAGCTCCTCTTTGTCCAAGGAGTGACGGTGTGGATCTGTCGGTGCTGTCAGGTGAGCATTCAGTAAGTGCCAGAGGAAGAAATGAAGAATGATGGCTGGTGGCTTCCTGTTGAGGAGTACTAAGGTCTCTATTTGTCTCCCTGCTGATACAGTACAGAAATCAATTATTTCCCAGAGCGTGTATTCAGAACATCACAAAAAGTTTCCCAAGACCTTTCAAACCAAATGAGTGCTGTCTGCTTTTTTCTTTTTTTTTTTTTGTGCCATTCACTTCTGATAAATTCTGTAGTTGTAATCAGTACTACTAAAAAGTCTAGAAAGATTTCTAAGTATTATCAAGTCTTAGGCAAGAAACTGAGTTTTTTAGGGAGCATTGGTGATATTTTCATCCCTGTTGCTTTCACGATCAGGATTTGGGATTGAAAAAGCTAGATAAGACATTATCAAAAAATGGATTGTGGACTTGTGAACTTTTGTGCCAAATACATCACTACATAGGGTTGGAGTGAACATAACAAAGGCTGGTAAAAATGCGTTTGGTTAGAGTCTTGGAAATCTAATCAAATGGAAATGGCTTCAAATGGAAGGGAAGAAAATTGTCTCCACTAAGCTAAATACTGTAAAAAGTAGCTACAATGTATGAAGAATAGCAGTACACTTACAGAAATTTACTGTAGAAAAAAATGCAAGAAAAAGAATCAGCCATAAGACTCTTAGCCTCAAATTTGTTGTTGTTGAGTCATTTCAATCGTGTCTGACTCTTTGTGACCCCATTTGGGGATTTCTTAGCAAAGTTACTGGAGTAGTTTGCCAATTTCCTTCTCCAGCTCATTTTACAGATGAGGAAACTGAGGCAAACAGGATTAAGTGACTTGCCCAGGATCACACAGGTAGCAAATGTCTGAGGCCAGATTTGAATTCATGCAGATGAGTCTTCCTGATGGTAGGCCCTGCGTGCCACCCTTGCCTCAAATACCTATACATGAATGCATAAAGCATTGGTAATAAACAAGAAATCCCAGTTCCAGGAATCAAATTTGATATAACAGATAATATTGAGAATTGATCTATTGAGACTCCAGTGGCTCCTGTTTACCTTAAGAGAACTCCTCTCTCTTTTATTTAAAGCTTTTACAAATTTGCTTCAACCTCTTAAAGATAGCTTGGTATAGTGGATAATGCACTGGATTTCAAGTTATAGTGACCTGGGTTCAAATTCTGCCTCAGACACTAGCTGCGAATGTGGACAAAGTTATTTGATCTCTCTGTGCTTCATTTTCTTAACCTGTAAAATGAGGGGGTTGTAGTAGACATACTACATATAAATCGATGGTCCTATGACCCTAGCTTTACAGCTTGAATATATGCTACTTTGTGGGGCAGTCAGGCTGCCTTTTTTTTAAACCATTCCTTATACATAGGAACTCGGATACAAATTTACTATTTTTATTGATATCAACTTTAATGTAGGAAAAGGAAATCTATGCCACATAATATACAAATTATTTGGCAAATTGGAAATATTCAGTGTATTTTAAATTGGTTTGTTTCTGGAACTGTACATATTTTTGCTATAAGTTTTTCATTGTTAGGATTATCCTTTAGGGAATATTCATAATACGTATCATAATTGAGTATTGCCCAAATCCTGAAAAATTCTTTTTTACATTCTTTTTTCTTTTATTATATTGTTTTAGTCATCCACCAGCCATTTTAAGTAGGTCCTATATGTAAAACCCTGTGCTAGGCAGTGGGGGAGGTATAAGATAATTAAGATATGGTCCCAACTCCCTTAGAGTTTGGATTCTAGCAGAATGCTAGAATTGGCATTTGGAAAATAATGGGATGATTGTTAATAAAGAAAATAATAGTTGCAGTAAAAATTAAATGGGAGCATAATTTCAGTGGAAAGCATTTCCTTGGTGTGCATCTTTATTAAAAACAAGAAATTAAAACTCACATCTAAAGAGATGTGCCACAGTGACGGTCTTAATGTAAAATGCATGCTTTAGATATGTAGTTTTTTATCCCTTAACTAGCTAGTATATTTGATTTTATATAACTAGAAGAGAAAAGCCAAGATCATTTAGTTATATTTCTATATAGGCATGCCAGAGTGTTGATGTTTAGATCATTACCTTAGAATAGGATTTCCCAGTCAGCTTGTTGGTGAGCCTTCTACCTGGTCTCTCTTTGGAACTGTTAACATTCACCCCCTCCCTGACTCATGCAGAAATTTCAGCATCCTGAATAAACAATTCCGTTCAGCAAACATTTATTAAGTGCCTGCTGTGTTTAAGGTGCTATTGTAAATGCTGTCGAAACAAAGACAGAAAAGAAACAGTTCCTAGCATCTAGGAGTTACTTGGTGGAGAGTAGGTGGGATTTTGCATTATAATTTTTATGGAAGAAGTATAAGAAGAGACATCAAATGAATTCAGTTCAAGTCAAGAAACCATTTATTAAGTTCTCACTGTGTGCAGAGGTAAGCATAGGGATAGAAACGGACCTGTGATTTCATCGCAATAGAGGATACCACAATGAGGGAATTCCCTCTACCGATGCAAGTGGCTACCCTCGCTTAAAGTAATGGGCTTACAGGGTTGCTTAGAGCACTGAGAGGTTAAGAAGTGTCAGGGTCACATAGCCAGTATGTCAGAGGCAGCACTTAACTCAAGTTTTCTTGATTCTGGGGTCATGTTACTATCTGTTGTACCATGAGCCCTTGGAAAGATTAAAAGTTTAGATAAGCCACGTAAGGAGGGCTAGAAGACACAAATAGACATCATTATAATACAGAATATTATGCAACATCAACATCAGAGTACTGTGATGTTTCGTCATGGTGCAGAAATGACCCTGGGTTCTCACAGGGCATATCAGTGGAACACAAAGGCTGGCAAATCCTATCAAGTTGGTAAGCTTCTTTGAATACAGACTAGATAACTATTTGTGTTTAACCAGGGACTCACCTAGTTAAATTTTTCAGTATCATATGGTGGACCCATTTAGCTACGTAAGTAGATAATCCAGTGGTCACAAATTATGAGGAGATAGATTGGGATATCTCTTTCTCCTCTTTCCACTTTGGTTCCTCTTGCTACTGAAAGTGATTTCATTTTCAACTCGTTCCCTTCCCAGTGATAAAGACTACTGTTGTTCAGTCATTCAGTCATATCTGATTCTCTGTGACCCTGTGGACCATACTGTACATGAGATTTCTTTGCAAAGATACTACAGTGGTGAACAGATGGTAAGTGACTTGCCCAGTGTCACAGAACTACTAAGTGTCTGAGGACGGATTTGAACTCTGGTCTTCCTGATTCCAGGCTTCTTCCATTGAGCCATCTAGCTGCCTCGATAAAGACTCATACCTGTAGGGTTTTTCCTGATACCTGTAGGGTATCCCTGACTCCCTGTAGGGAAATGCTAAGCTGATTCTCCTTTAGAAAAGTTAGGAACCCTTGCCTTAGAATGCTTAGGCCTCCTTATTTCAAACTTATAATATTTTCTTAGAGAAAACCTAAATTCTTCCTTAATGGAAGTAGCCAATATTTTCAGTAAGTACTTGAAGACAATTCATTTTTTAAAAGTAGGATTTGGTAGTCTTTGAGAAAGATTGAAAACAAAAAGAAAAGGGGACTGCAGAGAATGAGATGGATAGATAGTGTCATGGAAACAATGAACATGAACTTGGACAGACTGAAAGATAATGGAAGATAGAAGGGCTTGGTGTGCTATGGTCCACAGGGTCATGAAGAGTCAGACATGACTGAATGACTTTACAACTAAAGTCATATTTCTAGTGACCTACCTTCCTACGGACTTTCTTTCTTGACTTTTATTTTTCTGATTTCTCTGAATGTTCCTCAGGATCTTTTCATCCTATTCTAATTAGTTATAAAGCTAGAGCTCTATTTAGAATGGAATTAAGTATGGTGCAAGGTTTTCCTCACAATTTCTGGTGTGTTATTTCTACTAAAATATGTCACCATCGTATTTCTTCTTTTTTTTTTTTTTTCATTACTGCATTTCTACTTGCTGTTCACAGTCTACTCTGACCAGGGACTAGTCACTCAAATTCTTTGGGATATAGACTAAATAGCTTTCCAAGGTCCTATCTATCTACCTCTGGACTGGGTTGTTGGGGGCCATTTTTGTAGAAAGCTAATTATATTATATCCTTTTAAACTCACTATAAGATAGTCTGACATTTGTCTTTTTTTAAACAGAGTTTTTTTCCGGAGCATATGGTGTCTTTTGCAGCTGAAACCAATGGAGAACTCTCTCAAGCTCTTATTTTACAGGTATTGTATATTTTCTTTGAACTAGGTCAGCCACAATTTGATTAAATTGTTGGTTTGAGACCTTTGCTTGCAAATGCTTAGGTTTAAAAAACTTTTTTCATGGTTGATTTCAGTTTTAAAGAAATGAAAAACAAAAATCAAAAAAATAATTAATAGATTATAATTATAATTATACAATATAATTCATGATATAAAATAAAGACATAAAATACAGTTATAATTTAGAAATAATATAATAAACAATAGATTATAATTATAATAATTAATAGAATATAAGAAGCCAATGGGTTGATTTATTTTGTTTGACTATATTTATTTATTTATTTACAAAAATGGTCTTTATTCCTAGGTGTTGTAGACCCATTGGGAACTGATTTTGATGTTAAGAGGAATGGGGAGAAGGAAAGATGAGGAAGGAGATGGGTTGGGGAAAAAAAACTGAAACAGAGTGTCTGTCATAAAGAGACAGATGAGAGACAGAGACAACATTTAAAAAATAGCTAACTTTGGGCATTCTAAATCACTGAATTCCATGTGTTACTATTAGTACTGCAGTAGTACTATTAGTACTACTGCTGCCAGGTAGTAGTATTTTCTTGGTTTGTCAGACTGCCTAATAATAGTAAGATATAATATTATTATCACTATGACTATAATTTTGATGGACAACCACCACTGCCACCACAACTACTTTTTACTATTAGTGAAAATTGCGAGTTGTTACCATGTGATGTATGTTGAAAGTTTAGATTATTCTACTTTCTTGTTGCAAAATCAAAAATAAGATCAAGAAAGTGGAAAATTCTTCAGTAAAGAAATACTAAGAGGTGGATTTTATAAATAGTCCAAATACAGTGAATCCTGTTTCCTAATAAAAAAGTTTTTAAAAAATAAAGTTAAAAAATTATAAAAGAGCATAAATAGCCTGTAAAATATTTTCCCAACATGTTAATTCTTCCCAGCTGAATCTGGAGAACTTTAATGAGAATAAGAGACAAGATTATTTGACTAAACAACATAGAGATATGTGTCATGAATTTTGTGTATCTATTATGTTCATTTCTTCTTCATGTAGTAGTGGCTTATGATGTTCATTCCCCAGAAATCTGACTCGAAGGAAAAGTGATTTGAATTATTTTTCAGATACATTAGTTGGTCATAATGCTATAAATCTGCTGTTAACTTCTAATAAGTAATTTCTCTGTAACTGCTGGAATTTTCACTGGGTAAGCTACATAACACTGAGAAACACTTCGTGATGTTACTTTCTTTCACTTTGAAATGTTAGTTTTAAGAACAGAAAACAATATTCTTTTTCTGATTTTCTTTTTGTTTCTAGAACAGAGATCAGATGTATAACATTTATTTTTAACAATCTTTTGGGATTGTATTAGTAGCATATTTTAGTTTGTGGTAAATTCAAAATCTTTTGGAAATGTGGTTTGTGATTAACAAATGCTTAGCAAGCATGGTGCAAAATACATTTGCATTCACAAGGAAATATCATGGATCCTGCACTCAAGGAGCATATAGTCTAGTAGTGGAAAGACATGAGGTTTTCTCTGGAAAATTAATAAATATAAGAAAATAAATAATCCTACATATTCTGAATCATCTTATAGGGCTATTCATCCAATAGAATGATATTTCATAACTTCTACCTCCTTTCTTTTAAAATTATATTTGTAGCCCAAATGATTATACTTTCCTTATAATTAAATTTAAATGCTACATTTTTTGTTTTCTCACTGATTTTCAAAAATAAATTCTGATCTAATGTTTTATTTGATGGCCACAGTTTAAATGATCTTATTGATTATTGGCAGATAATTCCACCTCCCATGCTTTTGTTATTATTACTTCTGTTGTCACCAAGGGAGTCTAAGATATAAGAGGTTAACTAAAACTACAAGATACCTCTTGAGGGAAATCTGTGGCAACTGAGGATCATGAAGAGAATTCCTTACTACTTTGACCAATACTGAAATTTTACCTCCCTTGTTTTTCTTGGGAGGAGGAAGAGGCACAGAATATCACATCGGGGTGAGATGATTGACACTTATAGCTCACTGACTGCCCCAGCCACCTTTGGCTTGATTGGTTCCCTATATCTGAGAAACTTCCAGAAGAAAGTTCCCTATAAATTGAGAAACTGCCAGAAGATAGTGACCGTGAAAGCCACAGTGCTTAGTGAAGAATCACAAATACTTTCTGACTTACTTGGAATTTTTACAGGTAGTCTAGATATCTACATCATGCCTCTTGTTTTACGTGCCTCTTTTTCTGTAGGGAGGCATCAAATTTTCTTAGCATCTCTCCTTATATTTTCCTTGTTTTAAAAGTACTTTGGGGAGATGTAATAGCAGTGGCCTCCCACACCCTTATGTGTGATTTCCTTCTATGTTGTTGTTGAAATTTGCCATTTCCTGGTAAAGCCTGTGAAGTTCCATTGGTTTGGAAACTTGGTAACCACCACTCCCTTCCCTCTCCCCACATACTCAACTAACCCCAACCCAAGTAAATAGTGACAGATAATAGGAAGCCCTAGTGTTCTGCCCAGAATAACTGTGCCTGCCAGTCCTTGGAATTGAAGGAGGATATTGAGGAAATGCAGGGAGAAAGAGAGAAGTTGGACCAAATCATCTCCAAGCTCCCTTTCAAATCTAATATTTTATAAAACTGTGGCAAGAGGAAGTCACTACTACCTAGACAAGGTAAGGGTAGGGGTAGGGCAGGGACCACCGTAGCAACTAGGACCCACTTTGGCTTCCTGGGGGCACTGGTGGTATCACCATCATCAGTAATTCTACAATACGGTAGCAGTGGTGGAGAATGTTTGGAAGTGGCAGCACGTCTCCCCTATTCCCACAGTTTATTGTAAATATTACTAACATTCATATTATTAATATTTGTATTTCCATTGATATTATATTGATATAATATTTTGTCATTTAGAAATTACTTTTCTTGTAACAGTATTGTACTGTAGTACTGTAAGTCTTCTCTGTTTAATGAATGAGGGGACTGAGGATCAGAGAGGTTAAGTAGTGTTTTTAATCCATGGTCATTCAGCCTAGTCAGTGGCAGGCCCAGAAGTTGAATCCAATTCTTTTGGCTGCAAGTTCACTGCACTTCCCAGAGTATCATACTGCCTCTCGTCTCTCCTCTAATCCCATACTGGTTTTTTAAATAGCCTTTTCAGTGGAGCCTCGTCAAAGGCTTTTTCAAAGTCTAAATAAATTATATTTCCATCTACCTCCAGAAGCAAAACCTGATTTTTCAAATGGATTCGGTGGGGACAGCAGGTATGTTAAATGGCTGTCACTATTTAATTACTGTCTTGGTTAGGTTACAGATATTTAAATTTAAAAGTTCTCCCTGAGTTCTTCTATGTGGCATTATACTTGGAGACTTTTAAAGGGATTATTTTTTTCTTATTGAAATAAACTGTTATTTCTGTGGATTCATGAGGATAGTCAACATCTTGCTCAGTATTTGAAATATATACAGAAGCTTTGATTTGCATTTGGTATAAAAAATGAAGTTCAGTCTGATCTTTAGTTGGGAATAAGTTTCTTTAATGTTTTCTTCCAGAATTTTCTGAGTTCTAGCACATATCCTGAAATACATGGTTACTTACATGCAAAAGAGCAGGGGAAAAAGTCCTGGAAGAAGATTTACTTTCTTCTAAGAAGATCAGGTTTATATTATTCTACCAAAGGAACATCAAAGGTGGGTAGAAGCAGAAGTGATGTCTTATTTGCCATGTGGTCATTATAAAGTGAGGTATATCTTTGTGTGTCTTTTAATTTGATCACTTGAAGTTAGAATAATTCATGTTTATGCATGAATTATTTGCAATGATCATTTGCAATTTTTGAAAGAAAAATTTGGCGAGATAGAAATTCATTCATCAGGAAAGAAATAAGGAGAAATAAAAAAAAACTAGAACATGTACAGTCGGTAAATTGATGGTAAGAAGGAAATAATGGTTTAAGGTTAAGGACAAGAGGAATGCCTGTCTGGAAAAAAGATAGCTATCTATACTGGATCATATACACAAGTCATCCACTTGTTATTAGGTACTTTACTTTTTACCCTACGTGCTCTAGTTTGGAGTTGGCAAACTATGATACGTAGGTCACCTGACTGGTCATCTGCTTTTGTACAGCTCAGTGTCATCTATTTAAAATTGCAATAAAATATAATCAGTAATCTCTGCTATTTAGATCAGTAGACTTCATTTGATCACTTATGTTTAAATTTCTTTGGGAATTCTATAACATGATTGATTCAGCCCAGTTAATTAAATTAATATTTATTGAGTATCTGATATGTGCAAGGTGATTTGCTGGTGTTTTCCCTTGTCTTTATGGAGCTTACAGTCAAGTGGAAAACAAAGCATATACTCAAATAACTATTTTTAATATGAAACAACAAATCTTCAATTGTACACCTTAAAAAATACTTAATTCAGCATATTAGCTTCAAAGATGTCCTATTTGTCTGTGTCTTCCTCTCAAACTGCTTCTGTCCTCTGTGATTTTAAAAAAATGTTTTGTCATGATGGAAAATGCTATCCACATCCAAAGAAAGAACTATGGAGTTTAAATGCAGATTGAAGCATACGATTTGCTATTTTTTTCTTCTGTTTTGTTTCCTCTTTCTGGTGGTCCCTCCTATTGGTTCTAATTCTTACTTACAACATCACTAATGTGAAGATATGTTTAATAGGAATGTATATGTATAGCCTATATCAGATCGCGTGCCATCTTGGGGAGAAAGGGGGGAAAGAAGGGGGAGAAAACTTTAAAACTCAAAAGCTTATGGATGTGATTGTTGATACATCAAAATAAATTGATAAAAAATTTTTAAAAATGTTTTGACCCACTTTCCTTTTTTTACTTCTTTATTTTCGGCATCCCTATTATTAGTTACTCTCCCCATATAACCTCCCCATTACAGAACAAAAACAAAAATCTTATCTTGTGACAAATGAGCATAGTTAAGCAAAACAAATCCACTCACTAGGCATATCCAAAAATGTGTTATCTCTTTCTGCCCCTCAAGTTCTCCACCTGTTTCCCCATCTCCTAAAATAGTGGCTGATCGTTGCACTGAGTTTCAAGCATTTCAAAGTTGTTTTTCCATGTCATGTGGTAGCTGTTGCATAAAATATTCTGGTTCTGGGCACTTCACTTTATATTAATTCACATATATCTTTCCAAATTTTGTTGAATATATCCCTTTCATCATTTCTTTTTAAAAATTTTTTTAAAAAATGTTAAGTTTTTCATATAACATATTTTTATTCATACATCCCTCCCTCTATCTCTCCTTGTCAGAAAACCCCCAACCTTAAGCGAATACCTCATTATATACTTACATAATCTGGTAAAACAAATTTCCACATTAGCCATGTCTGAAAATATATTTCTGTTTCTGTATTTTAAGTTCATCATTTCTTTGTCCCAAAGTGATTTGTGGTTTTCATCTTCGTTCTTTTGGACTCGTGGTTTATCATTGCATTGGTCAGAGTGCTGAAGTCTCTCGGAGTTGATTTTCTTCATAATATTACCATCCTATACATCGTTCTCCTGGTTCTACTCACTTCATTCTGCATTAATTCATACATGTCTTCACAGTTTCACCTGCAATTGTCCATTTGATTTATTTCTTATGGCACAATAATATTCTGTTACATTGATACACTGCATTTTGTTTGACCATCTCCAATAGTTGGATACTCCATAGTTTCTAGTTTTGGGTTACCCAAAAAGAACTGCTTTAAACATTTTTGTACATATAGATAATTTTCTTCTTTCTTTGAATTCTTTTTTTTGGGGGAGGGGGGCAGTATCGGCCTGATAGTGGCATAACTTGAGTAAAGAGTGTGATGGAGGCTAATGCTTTGTAATTGGAGTAAGCTGCTTCTGTTGCACTGACCCTTCTTTCTTCTTTTCTCCCAGAACCTGATCTTTGGGTCTTACCCACTTTTTTCCCTTTTTATGTCCTTCACAGTCTGTACTCAAAAGTTGAAATTTGTCTTGTTTGCAACTGTTCCCTCCTTTTCCCTGTTCCCTCCTCTTTCTTTGTCGAGTTTGATGTATTTTTATATCAAACACTTTGTGTGTGTCAGTGTGTGTATTCACCCTCTTTAACCTGGTTCAGACAAGTGTGAGGTTCATTTGGTGACCAATTATATCCCTTTCTCCATGGCTGTATACTCCTTCTCTGAGGTATTTGGTTATGAGGAATTGTAAATACTTCCTCTTCTTCCTCTTTGCTTTCCTAGTATATTTCTTCTCCCTTCTTTTTTTCCTTGAGGTTTTGAAGATAGACTTGATTGTGCTTCCCTGTTAGACTATTAGCCAGTTATTATCATGTGTGTATCACAGGAAGTATTTACCTTCTTATAGGTATATAGCTCAAATATATTTACCTTTTTATGTTTCTCTTGACTCGATTTGAACTTTGGAATTTCTATTCAGCTTTGATCTTTTCATTAGGAATATTGAAAGACACACACACACACACATACACACACACAGCTTGTTCACATACTCCATTAATCCATGGGTAACCTGAAATTTTAATTCTTTAGAGGTTGGGTTATTTCACTATCTATACCCATACATCATCAGTATTAGAAGAACGTTTATATTTAAAAAATGGTCTTTCTTTCAGGGAGAAGCTTTGGTATCATTAACAGTGCCACACAGTTTTCCAAACACAATCCTGCCTACTGCCCTCCCACTTTTCAGTTTTAGGCCTAGTTCATTCATTGATCATCACACACATGTACACACACACACGCATGCATGTGCACACACACACGCATGCATGTGCGCACACACACTGTCTGTCTCTCCTTGCCCAAAAGGCTTAGTGTAGTTTTAAGCTTTAACAGCTTAAAACTGATTCTGCACTTAAAATGCAATAAGATATTTAGAGCACCCTATATCTCTCTTAGTCTCTCTTCATGTGCATACGTACTACTGAAGAACCAGATCTGTGGTTGGTCAGTTGAACTGTGCATCACTCAGTCAGTCAACAAGCATTTATTAAATGCTTAATCTGTGCTAGTCACAGTGCTAAGTGCTGTGACATACAAGCAGAAAGAAAGATAGTCTTGCTTTTAATGAGGACACATTCTAATGGAGGAATAAAACACATAAAACAAAGAAGAAAGTGAATGGGGTGGACAGTGGAGACAATGTACCTGAGTGTCCTGAATACAGCTTGGAGAGGAATAAAGACATGACTGGCCTGGATGCCTTTCTTAAATGCTGGTTCGTGGAAGAGCTTTCCTATCAGAGGAACAAGTCATAGTGAAGGAAGGAAGAAAATAAGAATATATTAAGTACTTACTGTGTGCTGGACACTATGCTAAGTGCTTCCAGTATGATTTCATTTGGTCCTCATAATAGGTTCCATTATTATCCTCATTTTACTGATGAGGAAACTTAGGCAGACAAGTTAAATGTCTTGCATAAGGTCACAGAACTAGTAATTGTCTGAGGCCAGATTTAAACTCAGCTCTTCAGGGGCAGCTAGGTGGCACAGTGGATAGAGCACTGGCCCTGAAGTCAGAAGGACCTGAGTTCAAATTCGGCCTCAGACCAAACACTTAACACTTACTAGCTGTGTGACCCTGGGCAAGTCACTTAACCCCAATTGCCTTAAAAAAAAATTAAAGAAAACTCAAATCTTCCTGGCTCCAGGTTCAGTACTCTAACCACTGTACCACTTAGGAGGGTACTTCTGATGTATAAATTTCAGGGCTAGAGTGAACTTCCAGGATGAGGAGGTTTCTGGGGCATGGTAGAGACAGTCCAGAATGCAGTCTGGAGAGGGATGAGACCATCATAGTCAGAACTACAAGTGTTTTTCACTCGTTTTCCTTGTGTAGATCGTTAGGCCCTCTTCTGAATGATTATGGATCAAATTCAAAGAGCTCTACAGTGTTTCAGACCTTAATTTATTTAGCACTGTGCTATCTGCAGACTTGAGAATCTGGATGTCCTCATCATCTTTGGGCATTCCCTGTGGATTCTGCTCTCATCATACCCCATGAAAGAGGCAAACACCTCTGTTGCTGCTATTTCCTTGAGACTCGAGGGACACAATACTTTGAAAACTTCAAAAATATTCTTTAGGTGTTGGCTATTTTTACCCGGTTTCTTTGTGATGATTTTTTTTTAGCAATATGGGGGAAAAATGACATGACTTTTCAGGAAAATTTAAAACTTTAGACCTGTGTGTCTTAAAATTTAAGATTTCTTACTTTTTGAATTTCTGAGTAATCAGAGAGGTTTTCAGTGCCATTGAACTGAATGATTGCATCTGCAAAGAAATTCTAACTGCATTAGTAATCTTGCTTTTGTTCGGAGAGTATGCTTTCTACCATAGGGAAGTAACACAACTAAACAGTAGTTCCAAACTACTCTCCAGCATGGTTGGATCAGTTCACCACTTCACCAACAATGCATTAGTGTTCTGAATTTCCCACATCACCTCCATCATTTATCATTTTTCTTTTCTTTTATATTAGCCAATTTGATAGGTGTGAGGTGGTACCTCAGAGTTGGTTTTGTTTTGGGTTTTTTTTTGCATTTAATAGTATTTTATTTTTTTCCAATTACATGTAAAGATAGTTTTCAGCATTCACTTTTGTCAGATTTTGAATTCCAAATTTTTCTCCCTCCCTTCCCTTCCTTCCCTCCCCTCTC